TAAGCAGCTAACAGATAAGCAGCTCACATGATAAGCAGCTAACAGATCAGCAGCTAACAGATAAGCAACTAACAGATAAGCAGCTAACAGATAAGCAGCTCACATGATAAGCAGCTAACAGATAAGCAGGGCAGATGCCAACAGTTATTGCCAGTGTTGTGTTTGCTAAGATCAGATGGCTGTGGAGGCCATTTACCAGCTGTAGCTGTTTATCAAATGATGACTTCCTGGGTGTTTCACTCAAATCTGTCCAGTGGAAAATGAGATTTTTTGCTAACAGACAACATGCACACAGGCTAAAACATTTGCTGCCCTTCGTCTTTTGGCGGTGGGTGAAAATGAACCATCCTCCCGACTCGTCCTCATCTGTGTCGACTGCGCTCCTTGTCCTTGGAGCGTTTGGGGGAGCGGCTGCAGTCCCTGGAGTCTCGCTCGTGCTTGGACCGAGACTTGCTGTGCTTGTGTTCTCTGTCTCTGGAGCGTGAGCGTGAGCGCTGGCGGCCTTTTGACTTCTTGTCACGCCGGCTCTCCTCACTGTCCTAGAAATACAAGAAGAGAAATGAGTGAGGACGAAAGAAAAGAGGGTACGAGCTGATGACTGACAGAAGTGTGAGCTTACTGGCACAGGAAGAACTAGTTTCCTGAGACTCCCATCGTTACACCCACAGACTGAATGAATGAATGATGGCACCCAGCCAGCAGGCGACTGTCTACAGTGGTGCTTGAATGTTTGTGAACTCTTATAATTGTCTATATTTCTGCATCAATATGATCTAAAACATCATCAGACTTTCACTAAAGTCTAAAGGTAGCTCAAGAGAACCCAGTTAGACAAATGAGACAAACATATTGTCCATGACCAGTTATTTATTGAGGAAAATGATCCAATATTACACATTTGTGAGTACCGTGTTTCAGCCTATAACTCAGCTTTTTGCATAATTTACATGCCCTGCAACTTATAGGCTGAGGCGACGTATTTATGGATTTTTCCCCATATTTATAAACTGATTTTTGGCTGAGATATCACCGTTTTCATTCTGGCTGAAAAAAAATGAACAGTGCCATTTTCAGCCACTGGATGGCAGCAGAGAAGTAGTAGCAGTAAGGCATGCCATTGTATCATGTAATAGGTACACGTGGCTATAATGAAAAATTCAAAAAAGTTCAAGACAAAAACAACTGGACTTTTTTTATTATACTTTATTGTTTTTGTCTTGAACTTTTTTGAATTTACCATGTCCTGGATGACGGAGAATCTTCACCAGATATTAATGACACAATAGGCTTGCCATAGACTTCCACCTTCATTCTGCTCGGAGCAACCAATCAAATCAGGTGTTTATCTTGTTAAATTTGCACAGCAACTCGTCGTGTGCACGCGTTTACTTCCGTGTATCAGCATTTGAAATACAGCTGATCTGACCGTCGAAGTGCATTTAAGCAAAAGTTAGACTGAGACACATCTTTACTTTAATTGTGAGCAAACAAATAATTGTTTTTAGGTGTTTATCTTGTTAAACTTCGAGGAAATGCGGAGGCTTGTCCTTCTGCGCGTGCCCGCTGCTTCAGTGGGTCGGGTTTTGAAATCCAGATGATTTGACAGTCAAAGTGCGTTTACTAAGCAAAAGGTAGACTGACATGGGGGTGGGAGATATGGCTCAAATATAATATCGTGATATTTCAGAGCATTCTGACGATAACGATAAATGTTGTGATAACAACAAAAAAACAGAAATCATAGTTATTCATTTGACCAAATTAACTTAACATGTTGCTTTGTAGTATTACATAAAAACTAAAACAACAAGGGTTAATTTTACTGAAATTACTTTATTCAGTAAAGTATTCAGTCTCAGAGTATAAAATAAAAATGATCCGTCTGTTATTTAGATTGAAAACGTCTGCACAAAATGCAGATCAATAAATCCACCACAAAAACTAAAGAGCAGGTGAAGTTTCCCAAAATAAGTAAATCATTTCTCTCTGTTCTCTGGTGAAGACGGACGTGTTTTCCTGGCACTCCATACAGAAATGTTTAGTTGAGGGGGGTCACACCACATACTGAAGGGAGAGGTTCACATACTTTGACTCTCACAAATACATAATATGTTCCTCAATAAATAAATGACCCAGAACAATATTTTAGTCTCATTTGTTTAACTGGGTTCTCTTCATCTACTGTTAGGACTTGTGTGAAAATCTGATGATGCTTTAGGTCAAATTTATATAGAAAATTATAAAGACTTCACAAACTTTCAAGCACCACTGTAACTGCCCATGTCTGTGTAAGCAAAATATCTCATGATCCACTGGAAGGATTAATGAAACTTTCAGGAAATCATCATTTAATGTACATCTACACCTGACAAAGTTCAGCGGTGAACACATTTCAAGATGGCCACCACAGCTAACAAACTTTAGAAAGCCCCACAGCTGTAATTCAGTGTCACATACGTGGTGGTAACGTGTGGTAGTAGCTGAGAGTCATTCACAGCACATACCAGTGGCACTTTTTCTGAAAGATTTTCATTTAAAACTGTTGGCAGCTAATCTCACAAATCACTGGACAGGTTTTGAGCCTTCTTAACTTTGTTTTATATATCCTGATGCATGCTCAATAATCCAGGTAGAAAAATCTAAAAAAGTTAAATCTGCTCCTCTGGACATTCAAAAAAACAAAACAAAGCAAATCAACAAAAAAATGTAGAAATGTTTCGTCTCTCATCCTGAGGACTTCCTCAGTCTGAGGTGCTGTATTCAGCTCAGTCTCTTAAATAGCACCTTCTCAGAGTGGATCAACCAGTTTGCTGCTGACAACCAAAACCAGCTGATCACCAAAGATCCAGTCCCCCGGCACAAACAGAGTAATGTTGTGTATGTTGTTCAGTGTCAGGAGGGTGATCAGTCTTACATCGGGGAAACTAAACAGCCACTGGCCAAAAGGATGGACCAGCACAGAAGATCAACATCATCAGGCCAGGACTCTGAGGTCTACACTCATCTCCAGGCCAGAGGTCACTCTTTCAGGGATGAAGATGTTCACATCCTGGACAGAGAGGAACGATGGTTTGAGAGAGGAGTAAAGGAGGCCATCTTTGTGAAAAGAAACCATCCATC